AGGCTCATCCACAAAGAGAAAGACTTTCAGTGAAAAGCATTGACACAGTGGCTGAAACAATGGGCTCAAGCATAGAAACAGTGATGAGGAAGGTGTGGGAGCAGGCAGTGTTTCGTCCTGTTGCACACAGCATCACTATGAATTGGAATCAACTCAGCAGCAGGGTTCTTTTTTTTTTTTTTGGTTTGGCTCTGAAGATGGAGGAAGAGACCTACAGTGTAAGGAATGTCGGCAATCCTTAGAATTTGAGAATAATCCCAGACTAATAGCTATCAAGGAAAGACTTTTGTCCTGCATGGAAATACATTCTTGGAACCACCTGACTAAGCGTGGCAGCAAATATAGCCCCAGAACCTCCAGAAAGGAATGCAAACAAGCTATCAACTTGATTTCATCTTTGACAGGCTCTTAAGTTGAGAATCAGTTTAGACATACTATACCCAGACCTACATAACTGACACAAGAAATGGAAGGTGGATTTAAGCCACGACATTTGTGATATATTGTTAGAGAAGCAATAAGACAATAATACACTCATTCTTTACAGGACAATAAAATTGGTCATAATTTTACCATAGCTGATTTGTAAATCAAATCTCAATGGAATTCAAAGGATAACATTTATATACAAAAATTTATCTTTCTACAATATAAGTAAGCTGTACATCAATAACAAAATATCACTAAAGCAACAATATATCTTCACAATTTAAAAGAGATTTCTCTAAGTCAAAGAGGAAATTATGAAGGAATTTAGAAAATAGTTTGAATAAGTCCCTTGTGGGATGTAGGTAATATAGCAACAAGAAAATATAAATCTTTAAAAACACATGTACTCTAGAGTCAAAAGAAGTTGCTGCACAATGTGTAATAGTGGGCTTTTATGAGTATATTGGTAAAAACACATTGGAAACAATATAAACAAAGGATAAACAACCTAACTGTGCATCAATCATAGAATGAATATATAAGTTGTGATATATTATGATGTAACATAATCCAATAGAGTAGTGGTTCTCAAAATGTGATCCCAGGATCCCTGGTAGTCCTGAGATACATTCAGAGAGTCCACAAGGTCAAAAGTATTTTTATAGTAATGAGACATTATTTACCTTTTTCACTGTGTTAACATGTGCCCTCCTAGCACAAAAGTAATGGTCCATAAAGTTGGTGGTGGCTTTTCACCATTCAATTACTAGCCCCAAACAACACGAGTAAGCTTTAGCCATTGTTCTCTTTATTGTCACACACTTGCAGTAGAACAAAAACAAACAAAACCAAGAAAATCATTTGCACTTCAGAACGTCTCTGCTGAAGCTATAAACAATTATTTATTTAAGGTCCACCGTATAGTATTGTAGAGGATCAGCATAAAAGGGGAAGGCCCTCAACAAGGTAGATTGTCCCAGTGGCTGTGGTGACTGCTCAAGCACGGGTGGTGCAGGACGCAGGACGGGGCAGTATTTATTTTGTTGTTCACAGGGTCACTATTAGTTGAAACCTACTCAACGGCACCTAACAACAATTATAGTACCAGTCTTCTTTAATAATCTGTCTGATGAAATGTAAAGTATGTGAAAAATACATCTGGTGCATACCAACTTTGATGGCTTCGTGAAGAGAAACAGTTGTGTGATTATATGAGTTGTTAGCTGAACTAATGATTTTTTTTTCATGAAATTCACTTTACTTGAAACAAAGGCTGATGAATAAACAAACTGTGGTTATTCACAAATAAGTTTGAGAGATATTCTATCAAAAATAAAAATAAATATATAAGTTAATAGCCTGTCATTTCTAGAAAAACAATTGACAAGGTTTGTTTTCAATAGCATCTGAGCTTTCAAGCATAAATTATTATTTTGGAAAACTTGATCCACTATGGTAAGCTTACTCATTTCTGAGGAGAACAGAGGTAATAAAATTAAAATGTGACTTCTCAGTATGTATGATGAAATGTGTCAACATTTGTAAAATATCTGTAACTTAGTGAACCACGTTTTTCAAATGACTAATGCATGATGATGTCTTAGGCTAGGTTCTCTAGAGAAAAAAAACCAGTGTACATACAGATACAAATACAGATATAGTTACAAATACAGAAACAGATACAGATACAGATATAGATATAGATAGATATGTTGTTGTTGTTGTTATGCGCCATCAAGTCAGACCTGACTCATAGCGACCCCTACTTGGGTTTCTGAGGCAGTATCACTACAGAAGTAGATTGCCCAAATTTCCTCCTGAAGAGTTGCTAGTGGGTTTGAACAACCAGCCTTTTGGTTAGCAGGCAAGTGCCTTGGGCACTATGCTACCAGAGCTCCTATAGATAGATATAGATATAGATATAGATATAGATATAGATATAGATATAGATGCCAAAACCAAAACCAAAACCAAATTTGCTGCCATTGACTCAATTTTGACTCATTGAAACTCCCATTAGGTTTCCAACATTGTAAATCTTTATGGAAGTGAATTGCCTCATCTTACTTCCACAGAGTGACTGATGGGGTTTGAGACACCAGTCTTTTGGTTAGCAGTCGAATGCCTTAACCACTATACCACCAGAGCTCCCTTCCCTCTCTCTTGTTCTTTCTCTCTCTCTGAATGTATATATGTGTATACACACACACACACATATATACACAAATATATACATCTCTCTCTTTCTCTTTACTAAGCCAGACACAAAGGAGATTTGCAGAAATGCAACACAATGTATTTTCTTCACTTATTTTCTTAAAAATATTATGTCAATATGTAATGATTTTTTTCTTTTTTTTTTAAACAAAATCATAAAAAGACAATTTTTTCTGCTTCATTTTCTAAAAGACTAAATATTGATATAGAACATTTGGGATTCTTTGTAATTTCTAAGATTAATAGGAAACAGACAAAAGGAACTTGAGAGCTGTTATCATACAACAATGGAAATATATGGTATTTCAATATACACAAATCCTACATATGTAGTATTTGGCAAAAGTAGCAAATATGTAAAGAAATATAGTTTATTATCATGTTAAAGTATTCTTACATATTAATAAGTAAATGCAGTAAAAAAACATGACAGGAAATAATACAAAATGGTAATTCATGGAAAAATTAAGTCATGTATCCTCATTAGTTTTAGAAAAAGTTGTATTCAAAAAAAATTTTTACAGTTTTCATGTTTAGAAAATATACCAATTATGAATCACCTTTTATATACTTCAAGCTTATATCTATTGTTAGTAAATTATAAGCAAATTAGACAGTGCATTATGGGCAAAAATATCAAGTAACTCTTGGTTACGTGAAATAGTTATAAGAAACTAATTTTCATATTAATTTCAATATAACTTACTGCAACTTTGGAATCTAATCAAGCAAAATCACTTCTCATTTGTAAACATTTAAATTTCAATATTTCAGAATTAGATCACATCTCTTCCTTCAATATTAAATTTACTAAATACTTCCCACTTTATTGTACTTTAAATTATCAGGAAAACAATGCATTTTATACTTTATTCAAACTATTTAGCTCTTGAAATCAATAACATAAAATCCACACTAATACAGACTGTCACAACTTTTCATTATTTCCCAAAGTTTGAGTATAGTTGATAAATATGATACATATTCTGAATAAATAGTAATGCACATAAACATTTAGGAACATTAATGTATGTAAATTTTTATATATTTACAATCACCTTTGATCTGTAATTTTTAGACAAAATAACATTAAAAATATTGTTACTTAAGCAAAGCTCAGTAGATATTGACAAAATGACTTGTAATACTTCTTCAACTCTATTAGGTAAAATGTCTGTGACTCTAACAATTAATTCCATTTATGTTTTTAGGTTAACAGGATTCCATCTGCCACCACCCGTGACAAGTACCAAATCTGTGTTCTCACTACGTTTGACCAGTGATTTCGCAGTTAGTGCTCATGGGTTTAAAGTATATTATGAAGGTAAGTGAAGGCAATCTAAAGGAAAACACTGCCCAATAAATGACAAAGCAAGATTCCCCAAGTATGACAAGGCGGAATAATCACTATGAAAGAGATAAAGCTGGTCCTATTATCTCAAATCTTGTCTCAGTCTGTAGGATTTAATGTTTCCTCTCAGTGTGCCTAGACACAGCAAAAAATTTCCCTTAAATCCTCTTAGGAGATGAAATCATGGAATTACTATAAGATTAGGGATTACCAAAAGGGAATTAAAAATGAGAATGAGAGGAGAATACATCTGATTTGTGATCCAGGCATCAGAGATTTCATGATATTCTTCTTGCTGCTTTGCCTTGCTACAGAAAACAAAACTAGAAACCTGTCTTCTCTGAAACACAACTATGAAAAAAAGTTCAGAAAGGGATAAGTGTTGTCGTCTTCAATTCATAAAACTAGCTTTTCCAGTACCACTGTCTCAAAACCAAAGTTTTTTTCTTTTTTCTGGAATTTTGGTACAAACTCATTTGGCATTAAAACCTGACCTTAAAAAATGGTAGACCATTTATAGTCTTTAGTTATCCCACTGCGTATCAATATCATATGCTTCCCTAGGGGAATATTGTTTGATTACAGAGTAGTGTCATAGGCTCTGCAGAGGGTATTAAAAACAGATAGAATCTGTTTTAATTTTAAATTATGAAAAATTTTAATTTTTGCTTGTAATTTCTTATTAAGGTAATTTGACAATAAAAGTTCTAAACAGTTAAAGAGAGATACCTGTCTTACCAACATATAGGGCTATCATTTTCAACTTCAACATACCTCCCCAATTCTCGTATTATCATACTACCTCCTGCCAAGTGTAACAGAGTCCTGAGATATACTCAAATGTACTAGCATGGGTGGTTCCTTTCTAAAGCACGTAATAATTCAAAATGTGATATGTTTAAAAAATACACTAGAAAACAATCATATAAACTTTTACAGTTTAAAGATTCCCAGTTCGCAAGTAGCAAATGTTTTCCATTAGATATTATTTCCTCTAGTATTATCTTTGTCACAAGAAAATTTTTTCTAGCAAAAATATTCTATTTTATATCCTAACAAATGCCATGCTGCAATAGTTTTTGAACACAATTTTCTACTGAACAGATTTCTGAACTCTCTTTTGTCTAGCAAGTGAGGATATTTTCTAAGATCTATTTTCCTCCCTTGTGAAAGTAATATCGTTATTTTTATAAGGTGCTTCCATAATAGTTCAATATTTTTATCTTGACAATTTAATTCATACTTTAAGACACTACAAACAGAAATATTTTGTTTTGGCAACAATGAAGGAGTTATACAATAATTTTATAAAATAATTTTCTACCAAACGCTCTGTAATAGAAAACCTGCATTCTGTTCGTTAAAGTATAAAAATAATTTTACATCCCTTTGTACCTTCAGTAAGTACTCAAAATTCTGACAATATAGTTTGGAAGATGAATTGTGATACTGGCATGATTTTTGGTTCGACTGTCAGATTTCATGAATTCATACTCAAAAATGTTTTCATTGGCCCCTGTTTGGACATCTAAATTAAATTTCTGATTTTTTTTTACAACATTAAATTTCTATCTATTATGCTTCAGAAAAATGGATGCATACATTTTTCATAACATTTTGCATTATATTTGGGATGTCCAGACATAAGTATGGGTATTAAGCGATCATGCTGTACTCAGGGACTGCGTATCATGGTGCAGAACATCTTCAGGAATTGGTTGGTGATGGCTAACTTTTAGCATGTATATTAATTTCCTAGTAGTACCATAACAAATGATCATACACGTAAGAGCTTGTTGTTGTTATGTGCCGTCGAGTCAGCCCCGACTCACAGCGACCCCTCCTTGGGTTTCCGAGGCAGTATCACTACAGAAGTAGGATTGCCCAACCTTCCTTCCAAGGAGTGGCTGGTGGGTTTGAACCGCCAGCCTTCTGGTTAACAGTCAAATGCTTTAGCCACTATGCTACCAGAGCTGCTTTTTAAGAGCTTACAACAATGAAAATATTTTCTCTCACAGTTCTGTAGGTAAGGAGTCTGGGTAGACTGTTGATTTCTCTGCTCAGGGCTTTATAAATTAGAAATCAAAATTTTGACTGGCTAGGTTCTTCTCAGGGGGCTCTTGGGAAGAATCCACTTTACAGCTTATTTTCATCATTGACAGAATTCAATTTCTTGTGATTGTGGGACTAAGGACCCTGTTTTCCAGCTGGCTGTCAGCTTAAGGCTGCACTTAGCTCCCAGAGGCCTCTCTCTGATTCACGAGCACAGTGAATCCTTCTCACATTTGCATCTCTCTGACTTCACCTTTTGCTGTTTCTCTTCCGCCTTCTTCCGTCACACATCCTGGCTTCAGCTGGAGAAATCTCTTTACTGTGAAGGGCTCCTATGATTAGTTTGGAAAAATAGGATATGTTCCTTTTCTCAATGATAATCCTAACATTCTTATCCTTGATTACATCTACAGCATCACTTTTACTATGTAAAGTGACATATTCAAAGATTCCTGACATATTGGGGGTGGAGGCATTGGTTGGCCTACCACCTCATGTGCAACTCAATAGGACATGCTGGGGAGACAGTATCTACAAGCATGTATTTATATAGCCATGGCCATTGATACACTAGACAGCAACTGGTATATCACAAACTCCATAAATCTTGGGTTAGAATTTTAAAAGTCTCTGAATTTTGGATCCAGCTTGTCTTCTCACAGTTGCCTCAAAAAGTGATCTACTAACCTGAACATCTCTATTAATTTCATACCTTCATGCCTTCTTTTTCAATCTGATCCTACTGTCTGAATGCCTCTATGTATTTAGTTAATACTATTTTCCTTATACTTTAAATTTTCCTTTTTATTTTTGTGTTAGAGATTATAAAATTTTTATTAATAAATTTTATACATTTATTGGTGTTTATCAAACTGGGTCACATACATCATATTCATCTGGAGAATATATTAAAATGTTGACTTCCCCCCACTTAAATATCTTGAATCAGACTCTGAGGTAGAGACCTGGAATATGGATTGTAATAAGAGATCCTGTGATTGTCATGCATACTGAATATAAGTACTAGTTACCTATCTTTCTTTCCCTGGAAGAAACTGAACCAAACCATTGTACAAGGAAGATTTAAAAAAAAAATATTTGCTGAATGGGTAGCAATATAATTATAATGGTTTGAAAAGCTTCACTTAATATCTTTAGTGATACTGAAGATAAAGTTAGTTGTGTCTTCCCATATCTCCACTTTGATGAGAATATGAGCTAGTGCAAAAAGTGTAGGCTCTGGTCTCTGATTCATTGCTTTGATTCTTTTTTCTGCCACTTAAGGAAATGTATCTAAATCTCCTTTTTAGATACATTAGAAAATCTTGGGTGAGTTACTTAATTTATCTAAACCTGATTTTCTCTTTGGTCAAATTAATGTAATAGCTCTCCCTACTTCAAGCTGTTGTGAGGAATAGGACTTGGAATATAATCTGGAATTTATGGGTATTCAATAAGTGTAGTTAGTATGATTATAATCAATATCATGATGGTGATGAAAAAGGTCTTCACCTTTTCTATGAAACATCTTACATTGCAAATAAAGATTTGTTTTCAGTTTATGTGGTAGAGAAATTGTTGCATAAACTAGAGATGTTCAAAAGAGCAATACATAGGAATCTCATAAAGCAGTTGATATGAAATACAGGTTAATAATCTAATCACCAGGGAGCTCTGGTAGTGTAGTACCTAAGGTACTTGACTACTAACCAGAAGGCTGGCAGTTCAAACCCACCAGCCACTCTTCGGAAGGAAGATCGGGCAATCTACTTCCATAGTGATAATCCCTTGGAAACCCAAAGTGGGGTCACTATGAGTTGGGTTCAACTCGACAGCACATAACAACAAGAATCTTATCGCCAGTAAACATAACATATATTGAAATAGGACACGTTTTCCTAGGTAATGCTTTTTAAGGTAAGAAAAGAGTTGAATTTATTTAGATGAATATTATCATGAGTCTACCAAAAGTAAATATTTAAATTTTGAATCGAATACAGAATTACAGACCCATCATTCAGAACACTCGTTAACTTTTCCAAAGTAATAACATATTAAGCACTTGGTGTTAAACTTTGAAACAGATCCAACATTTCTATGATTTAAGTGAATTAGTAAACTTTTGCAGAAATGTTTTTCCATTAATATTTAGCATATTTCATGGAATTTGATTATATAAATTTTTCATGGAGCTCTGGTGGCACAGTGCCTAAGGCATTTGGCTGCTAACCAGACTGGAGGGTCAAGTCCACCACCCATTTTGTGGAAAGAAGACCGGGCAATCTACTTCTGTAAATATTTGTCACCTCAGAAACTCATTGGGTCACTAAGAGTCGGAATTGACTCAGTGGCAGTGGGTTTTTTTTTTAAATAAAATTAAATTGATAAAAAAAGAGAAATATTCTGTGAAGCTATATATTTGGGGAATAGCAGTTTATACTGAGTTCAATAATCATATAACCGTTTCTCAATATTTTCCCTGGGGCACCTGTTAGGATATGTATGCTATGGAGCAAACGGTGAGTAGTGCTGTTATGTCTTTAGATCAAGCTGAGTTCATTGTACATTCTAGTTTCTGCCAAAACTTGTTTTCTAACATGGAGTCCTTTTATATTTCACTCTCAAAGTTGTGTAATCATTATAATTGAAAGAATATACAGTTAGCTTATAGATATCTTATCATTTTATTGTTGTTATGTGCTGTCGAGTCAGACCCCACTCATAGCGACCCCTCTTTGGGTTTCCAAGGCAGTATCACTACAGAAGTTGTTGTTGTTGTGCTGTCGAGTCGTTTACGACTCATAGCAACCCCATGCACAGCAGAACGAAACACTGCCCTGTCCCGCGCCAGCCCCACAATCCCTGCTATACTTGAGCCCATCATCGCAGCCACCATATCAATCCATCTCCTTGAAGGCCTC